TTATGTATATGGATAAAGGAAAATTTATTCCTACTTACCGTAATTTTCTTTTCCTGGTCATAGGCCATGGCAGCACAACAATGGGTAGCTCCTCCCTATCCCTAACCAGACAGGAACCTAATTAAAACAGAAGGTATAAGTAACCCCTCCTACCCCTCCCACCCTTTCCAGCAATATCCCAGGGCGGGATCTTTGTGCTGCCATGGCCTATGACCAGGAAAAGAAAATTACGGTAAGTAGGAATAAATTTTCCTTTTTCCTGGCCATATCCATGGCAGCACAACAATGGGTAATACCCAAGCAATAACCAAGGGTGGGAAAGAAATACACAAGACTTCCAAAATATGAATGCAAATTGACAACATACACACACACCTCATAAGGACATTCGAAATGAAAAACTGATTGCCCACTAATGGCACATTATCAAATTGACCAACTCAAATGTACCCCAAAAAAAATGTCTGCAAATTGATTGGAGACTAAGCAGCCATTTCCCTACAAGTTCCAGGGAAGCTTGGCCACCAATGCTCAAGAGGGAGAAATGGCTCTAGAGCAAACATATCTTTAAGTACTGTAATCCCTAGGGTTTAGTAGCCTAAAAAACAGCCAAGACTATCCATCTGCTGTTGGCTTGAAGATCTTTGTGGTCTATTAGTAAAGATAAACAGAAGAAATCCAGAAAGCGGATCTATAAAAATAGATCTTAAGGCATCTATCTAGGACAGGAGGATAAAGTTTTATTATGGACTCTACATTCTATGCAAAATAGTGATTGAGGATCTAATATCCTTCAGTCCATGCCAATGTCAACGATATAGCTAACTTAATGTTAAGCAAATGTGGAGAGATATACTCTCATGGTTAAAAGGGGTAAAAATTTCAGAGCATTCCACGGAGAGCAATAGATAACCGTGGGATCATATAAATACAACCGACAGAAATTTAGATACTTCTATATTAAAGCCCTTTCACGAAAAGAGAGATCAGAGAGTGCTGAGACATATCTCTGAGGTGATGTGGCCAATTCCTAGATATGTCCTGGATTAAAGAACTTAGAACCTTCTTGGTAGTTCAAAAACCTCTTATATTTAAGCCCTTCTACATTATCGAAACCTTCAAAACGAGGAAAGTAGCACTGGACCTGATGGAAGAGGGAAGAACTATTGTGGGAGATCCCATGGAGGCACTGAAGAAGATAAGTAGAAGTGGAAACCATGGACTGGGTATTAATATGGAACTGTCAGGATGATTGATATTGGTTCTTGCAACCTATGCAGAAGAGAAATGTTGGATGTTAAAGGAGTACCTTTCCTGAACATATTTGAATTTTGAGAAAGGTTCCTCAACCCCAGTGGATGGTATTCATAGTTATCACTGTCCAAAGGATTTCCATAGGTAAGTTAACCTCTGCCCTTGTGACATCTTATCAGATCTATGGTGGAGGATCTGGATCAAAACTCTCTCTGCTAGAGTAATATGCTAGTCTTAAAAGAGCTGTACCGTGCCTTGGACCATGTCGAACTGTATTTCCAGCTATACCCTGAACTGGGAGGGAGCAAGGTGACTACAGCAGACATTCATCTTTCATCATGAAGATGTAAAAATAAAAGTGATGTGAGGCAAAGGATACATGGCAATAAGCATCCTGCAAATCTATAGACATTATCCAATGTACTAGGAATACTACCTTTATAAATAAGAACGTTCAATCCTGTAAATTAAAATGGATCTCCAACACCTGTTAGAAACAGATTCTTTGTGTTCTAGTTGCTTTTTAAAAAAAAATTCACAATAGCTTCCTCTAATTGAAGGGAAGCCATGAGATTTACAAAGCATCTCTTTTTACCTTTTCTCTTCCTCTGGTAGAATAATGACCACTTACATCAAGGTTGAGAAGGATGTTAGTGAGAATCTTTATATCGAAAGGGTCTCCCAAACCTTAGGTCTTGAAGTAGACAAGCTTTCTTGCCCTCTGCCGTTCTGTTGATCCATTAATATAGGAGGATGCATCCGTGGACCAGGTATTAAGCAAAAGAGCCCAGCTAATAGACACAAAGAAAGTCATATTTCTGGCTATAATATAATGCAACCTATGTAGGCTTCTTAGCTGAAGACTATTCCCGGTCAATGACTTGTAAATTGTCAAGAGACAAAGGAAATTTATCTCTGATATGCTCCTCCAATTTATCCATACCAATATTAGATCCTTAGAGATTGAGGTAAAACCTTACAGCAAGATGAAAGCCTGTGCCAGCTGCCACATAGGCTTTAGAGAGGAGCAGAACCATGTATACTCCATGGCGTTTCAGAGAGATCCTGCATTGTTTACAGGCAGAGAGGAACATTTAGCCAGTCTAAGGACTGCATCTACTACTTAGGAGCAGAGTACCAGGTACTAGTGTCTGAAATTCCAATGGATGAAGACTGAGATACTCCCTTGTGTTGAAAACCTCTCTCAGTGTAGAACCATTCCTCCATTAAGGATCTTAAGGGGACTGGAAACTGGAAAAGATACTCTACACACTCTGACATCCGAAAAGAAAGGCTAGGGGTAAAAGGACTCTGGAAATCAAATGAGCGGATTCTGGAACTACTGAAATAGGCTGAATATCCTCATCCGATGATTTCATATCTCTGAATGGATCCATCTCCCAGGATTCCTAAGAGTATTCATTCTGGGAATTGTCCAGAGGATCCAAGCTTTAACAGCTTCTATGATGTCTTGAGATACCTCCTGTTAATATTGTGTAATACACAGGGCATGGGTAGAAGGGCCTGTAGCCACTTTCAGACAGTCTGTGCAGAGACTTTACTTTTACAAGGATCTCTTATCATATGCCTCACAAACAATTCTTTAGTGTGACTTCCCTTGTATGATCCGGATTATTTTCTTTCCGTAGAGCTATCATCATAGGGAATTCCAATTATTGATAGGCACTCTTTTGTTTAGTAATGACAGAAAAAATATAATGGCTTACCTATGTTTCTTAGAGTGTGACCTTTTTTCTGGGAGCAGAGGGATCTGAATCCATAACTGCATAAGATTTCTTTTTATCCTTGTGACGAGACCAATCTCGCCACATTGCATTGGAGAAGCCTGGTTGCTCGCCTGCTGCCTCTGGACTATGGCCCCCTTTTAAAAGACGTTATTTCGCCTGAAGAAAAGCTGTATTCGTGCTTTTCTGCCAGTTGTTCGATAGATTCAATCTACCGAACAACCGCACGAATGAATAGACCACCTGGGAGCTGGAGTGTGCCTGCAATTAACCTCCCTGAAGCTGCGATTAACCGCAGCTTAATTGACGAATGCTGGGTGGCCGCCATTCGTATCCCGAACACGAGGTCGCGGCCATTTTAAACATACGAATGCACAGCGGTGTTCGCCCCTATTTTCATGGAACTAAAATCGGACACAGTTTTGCGCGAACACCGCTGAAGCCGCCGACCTCCCTTCTTGTTCGGTGGAAGTGCATGAACGGCCCGGTGTTCGGTAGTTTTGGTTGAATGTGTTATACCCCAGATAGGAATCCCATGGAGCCCATTCGTATGAAACTGACTGTAAAGACTTTGGCTCCATGGCGATTAAACTGTATTCGTGTGGTCTGAGCGCCATTCGCTTAATAATGTGCGCTCAGACCTGAGCTATCTGGGGATATGTTACATGTCTGTGTTTTATGTAATAAATGTTACTTTATGTATTTTAAAGTATAATACTGGTTTTGTATCCCCACATGTGTAATGGAGTTTTGCCTTTGTCTTGGGAGATAATTTAATTACTTCCCAATTATCTCCCAGGGCAGAGGGGAGGAAGCCAGGATGCATTGTGGGAATATATTGTGACTGTGTGTCCTATTTGTCTACTTGTCTGTCTTTTGTCACAGTCTCCCATTTGGTACCCTAGGGGAGTGTCCACCAGGTGGGAGACCTGCATAAATACTGGGCAGGTAGCCCTCATTAAACAGACCACTGCTTGACCCTCAACACGGAGTTCTGTCTCGTCTTTGGGGGGATTTACTGTATGCTGCTAAGGAGTGATTGCCAGGAGTGTAAGCCGCTTGGGAGCTTTTCCTGTTCGTCTGGTAGCAGCAATTCGTATGGTTCCTGTTCGTGTATTTGGAGTGCTATCTTATTCCCTTGTATGTCGTTCGGGAGTTTGGAGCATTCACTTGTATGCAGTTCGAGAGTTTGGAGCATTCACTTGTATGCAGTTCGAGTGTTTGGACCATTCCCTTGTATGCAGTTCGAGTGTTTGGAGCATTCCCTTGTATGCCGTTCGGGAGTTTGGAGCATTCACTTGTATTCAGTTCGTGAGTTTTGGTGATTCTACAGTAGCTGTGCCTGTCTCTGAAAGGGGATTATCGTCTAAGCGTTTTTTTTCCCTTTTGTGCAAAACGGTCCGTTACAATCCTTTACAAAGAAAATCTCTGCTAAATAAGTAGAGATTGATAGATACAGAAAAATAAGTAATATACCTTTGATAAAGAAAAACTTACCAAAACCAAAAAGAAGAATTCAAATTAAGATGGAAACTGCACACAAATCGAATTACTTAATATAGGAAAAACCTATAAGGAAACATTGTGCTGAAAAGGGGAAGCCAATATGACCCTGCAACCACTGCAACAGGGCTTACATTTTAGAATACGCAGGAGCGAATCAGATTTCCACGCATGCGCGGTAATGGCATGGCGCGACCATTGGACTAGCACCTGCGTATTCGCGGGTGATTAAACGCAGAGGAAAAAACCTGAATGGGCCCAAAAGTAAGAATGGAAACTTAGGGACTTAAAATAAAACAGGTACAGTACAGGTAAAGTACAGAGACACTGAAACTGGTATAAATAGATCCTCCCCCTTCCCATCAGGCAGTCTTAGTAACTAGCTTCACATCTTATAGTATATGGGTGGGAACGTAATGCTGCCATGAATAATGATCAGAAAAAGAAAATTACGGTAAGTATGAAGCAAATTTTCCTTTTTTCCTGACATTATTCATGGCAGCATTTACTCATGGGGAATACCCAAGCAGTATATATCGAGGGAGGGACAGAGTTCAAAAACAGCCAATAGCTATAAAACCATTATTGAGCTGCATAAACCTTAGAAGACTCAAAAAAAAAGCCAAACAAGACATCAATAGGATGTTGTCATACATTCTGCTCAGACAAGTTAATTAACCTAGAGGCTGCAAGGTCAGCAACCTCCTGGCATTCAATATCTGAAATATCCTAAATATAGTCAGATAGGAATTAAGGCCATGATAGCATAAGTCAGAGAAGGATAATGCCATTTTGATATAAAATTTTAAAACCAAATTGATGACCTTATCAGATCAGAACCTTGACAAAAAGGCATAACAGAAGGTTGGATGAGAACATACACACCATGCTATTAAACATGGCGAGAATTACACTGAGAATCTCGCAACTCTCTGGATGTAATTATTAATGACGATTCACACTGCTTCCTCTTGCCTTGTGAACTACTTACCTGTGGATACAGGAAATAAATCAATACCTGCCTGTCAGAAAGAGGCAGAGCCTAGTAGAGAAATAAGTGTTATTAAAACACTGCAATAATGAATGAATATATATATATATATACATACACATATATATTGCAAAAATCAGACTCACAACAATACCTCACACCGTGGATGAATTGATACAATAATGATCAGGCACAGGAGAGGTATAAACCAATGACATTACTAGGCAAGGGCAAGAAGAGTCATATACAGATTAGTTAAAGAAAGAAAAAAGAGACATCGGTATGAACCGTGGAATTTGTGTAAACTCCTAAATTATAAGTAGGACAATCACGTCAGTACCTACATTCAAAGAAACATTGTAAATAGTACAGATTATGCCAAACAGTATAATCAAATTTATTAGAGACCGTTGTGTAACATAAGTAGGAGATATGTAAATCGGCAGGATACTGATGAGAAGGTGGTAACCAGAGGCACATGATCCATTGTGGCAACCGACACATAATCAGGATAGTAGAAGATATTCAGTTATCCTTATGAGAACAAACAACCGCATACTTACTCTTACCTTATCTTCAGATAGCGAATTAGTACTATGGCAGAGCTTATGGCGATAATAAGCAGTTTGTATTATTCTTACCTTATCTTCAGGTAGCGAAGTACTATGGCAGAGCTTATGGCGATAATAAGCAGTTTGTATTATCTGCAAGATATCAACACCAATACAAGTATATAATCCATAAGTATTAAATCAATGCAATGTTAGGAGTGACCATAACTTATACCGATCTAGGTACAGAGACCATGAAAAACATATCAGTCAAATGTTTGTCATCAACAAGCTGCATTACATTATATTATGTAGGATGAATCAACCACTTAAAGCCACACCTCGGTTGCAAATTCCAGATATAAGGACCACTAGAAGAATCCCCATGAAGATCAGAAGAGAGGACCGTAATGGAGTTACCTGTTAAGGGATTTCCTCTATTGTTCTGATAGCAGGTGAATTTTACTTGAAATAGTAAACCTGGTAGAATGGCCTGAGGACTAGAAAGACCTTCCAGTGTCAATTACAATACTTGCAATACTAAGTATCAAAAACTTACCTGGATCATATGAGCATAAAAGAATACATTTAATTGCAGAAAGGAAATTATAATATACCCTTTCACCACAAGGGAATCTTGTCAGAAATTTCTGAACATTAACCCCTTAAGGACACATGACGGAAATATTCCGTCATGATTCCCTTTTATTCCAAAAGTTGTGTCCTTAAGGGGTTAATTCCTTAAGAACAAAAAGCATGCTACCCCTGACATATCCTAAAGGGATTGCCAAACTCTCAGGTCCCCAAGGGATAAAAGAGAATACTGCATATAAAAAATTAGTACATTCTCCAAATTATAAAGATTATACTTTTAGGAAAGGTACGCAGTTCTAAAGAATATGTTAAACCAATTCCAGAGAACCAGAACCAGAGCACAAACCAGACCAGAAGTAGTGAATTCTTCAGAGTAGAAGTTTGCGGAAAAATAAAATGATACTAAAGTTATGACCAGGAGAGAAACAAGCCAATATGAACAGCTTTTTAAATCAGGTAATAGCTTCAGAGTTACCTACTTATGAGAACGATTAATAGCCCAATTTGTGCTCCTGCAACCAGCATGATCTTCTAAGCTGTGCATCAGTAACAGCATATATCTGAAGATAAAACACTGCCACCAAAACATTCCTTATCTTGATAAGAGAGGAGAGGATACTTGGCAATAGAAAAACTTCTCAGAAATGGTCTCATGTATAAATACATAGGAGTGCACACAAAAAGGCCTTAATTTTGTTAAACAGTACCATGCTCCATTTTGGAAATTCAGGTCTCCTTCTCTCCTGGGAGAGGCACTCAGACAGGTTCAGTAACACCTGCAATCCATCTGAAGTGGTAAAATGTGTTAATTGCTTATCCCGAAACACCTGTGGGAGAAGGAATCTAATACAAAGCCAAAAGCAGTATGTTTCCTTATCCACTTCATTTAAAAAAAACTGAAATAGAAAATCCACAGGAGGCAATAATTACTTACCCAGTATAACAGTGCATTTGTATTTGCTAAAATTAGGCAGTGCTACATTTCAGCGCAAAACCCAGACCTTAGATCATTTGTATATATTAAATATAAATGCCGTGTATAAATTAGGGTTATCTAATACTACCAACCTGCATACAGATTCTGTGAATCACATACATTGTGGATGTTTCTAACAGCACCTTATACACAGATATATCAGTTACATATACTGAGTCTGTTCAAATAGTAATAGCGTACCTCTGCTATATACAGTGACACTATGCCTGTACACATATTAAGATTGTATGAGTGAGATAAATTGAGGCTGTTTTCAACAGAACTTCATGCACATAATATACCACTCATATATACTGAGGTTGTGACTAATAACCCACACAAAAAAAACCTGTATTAGATTGGACTCATAGAGGATGTGTCATATATCAGTCACATATATTGTGTTTCCACTAATACATCAAGCATATAGTGAACAGATCCACTGAAGCAATGTCCACACCAACTTACATATAGAGCATGTTGAGACATATACTGAGGCTATGTTTTTAGAGCAAATAAAGAACACAAACTGAGCCGAGACTTCCGATCATCTCATACGTAGACAATATAGTGGATACATATACTGAGGCTATGTCCTCATAGTAACTCATACACAGAGCCTATAGTGTGTACATATACTGAGGCTGTGTCTTCATAGTAACTCATACACAGAGCATAAAGCGCATACATAAACTGAGGCTGTGTCTCCATAGTAACTCATACACAGAGCATAAAGCACATACATAAACTGAGGCTGTGTCTCCATAGTAACTCGTACATATGGCCTATAGTGGACACATATACTGAGGCCATGTCCTCATAGTAATTCATACACAGAGCATATAGTGCATACATAAACGGAGGCTGTGTCTCCATAGCAACTCATACATTTATCATATAGTGGATACCTATACTGAGGCTGTGTCCTCACAGTAACTCATACATAGAGCATATAGTGCATACATAAACTGAGGCAGCGTCCTCATTGTAACTCATACATAGAGCCTATAATGGATACATATACTGAGGCTGTCTCCATAGAAACTCACACATAGAGCATATAGTGGACACATATACTGAGGCTGTGTCTCAATAGAAACTCATATATATATATCTCATATATAGGATACTTATACCGAGGTGGTGTACTCACAGTAACTCTTATATAGACCACATAGCGGATACATATACTGAGGCCGTATCCTCCTAGTAACTCCTACATAGAGCATATAGTGGATACATATACTGAGGCCGTGTCCTTATAGTAACTCATACCTAGAGCATTTACTGGACACACTCTGTTCATATGTTAGAGCATAAAGTGAAAACACACCGATGCTGTACCACCACCAGATCATGTATGGATACTGAGGCCCCGTGGTCTCATATGCAGTATATTCCTCCACTCTCTGAAAAAGCCTGCTTATTTGTGATAATGCACAGATATCAGCAATCAATGCCACATATCTTGATAGGAACAAGTGTGTGTGTGGACTTTAAAATCATATACATGTGAGTACTTCAGTCACCCAGGGAAGTTCTCTTACCTTGGATATTTCTTCAGGACTGTGAAATTCCAGCAGACTTTATACAGCCAGGATATCCATTATTAGCACTCTTTTTCACAATGCCTTATTGCATCATAAGCACTCTTTTGCACAATGCCTCCTTGCATTATCAGCACTCTTTTGTACCAAGCATCCTTTCATGTATAACTTACCTAAATGCTCACCACACAAACCTCCTAAATGTGACCTATTTGTTAGAAGGAAGCCTAATGTAAGCCGCTGGGAGGGACTGAAAGAACAGAGACCCAGGTGCCTATACTAGTTTTAATCTAATTACAAATGCACTTACCTGAACAGCTGCAGGCCTGTGTTTCAACAGCAAAATGGAGCTTTGAACAACTGACAGCCTAAACTGTTTAAACTATAGGCTTCCATCTGTACCCCATATGCAGTCCATCATCACCAGTGGGAGGAGGTTTAACCAACCCCATACAAGGTGGAACACCAAGAATAGGTATACCCAGGTAGTCACCTTATGGAAGTGCTGTTTACTGGGTCTTCAAGAATAAAGGCTTAGACTCGGCTGGGCCTCATGTATGCAGTGGACCGCTGTCATCCCCTCAGGGAGAGAGATAGGTCAGACTCCTGATTGCTGAAGGAGGTACCCAGGCTGGCAACTGTTACAGATGTGCTGTTTGCTGGGTCTTCAGGGATAAGAGGCTGAACCCTGGCCTGGTATTATGTAGGCAATATATCACATTCATCCCCTGAGTGGGTACCCAAGCTGGGCTGTTGCTGGGTCTTCAGGGATAAGAGGCTGAACCCAGGCCTGGCTTCATGTAGGCAGCATATCGCATTCATCCCCTGAGGGGGTACCCAAGCTGGCCTGTTGCTGGGTCTTCAGGGATAAGAGGCTGAACCCTGGCATGCAGTGGACCATTTTCATCCCTTAAGGGAGAGGTTGGGTCCGACCCCCGGTCACTAAAGGGGGTACCCAGGTTTGCAGTATTAACAATAGTGCGTTGCTGGGTCTTCAGGGCTTAGAGGCTGAACCCCGGCATGGCTACAAAAATATTGCCTGGTGAGCATAAAAGAAAATCTAGGCCTGCATAAGCAGACTCCTTCCAAACTGCTGTGAAGGACAGGAAAAAAGACTGCCTGATGGGAAGGGGGAGGATCTATTTATACCAGTTTCAGAGTTCTATTTCCTGTCCTTTCTGCTGTGAGGGGAGGAGCTAACCCATGAGTAAATGCTGCCATGAATAATGTCAGGAAAAGAGGATGATGTGGTCAAAATACTCATTTGCCTAATAATTCTGCACTCCCTGTATAATAAATATATATATGATCTAAGTATATATTTTATTTTAAAGTGTTATTAAATCTTTTATTTTACAGTTTTCAGGCAGCAGGGGGAGTACCTGTCATTACAGGCACTCCCCCTGCTGGCACTAACATGGCACTGACATGGACGATCATATGGCCCGGGGGGGCCGAAGAGGAAGGAGAGGGACTCCCTGGGCTCCCAGCTGAGTCCCCACACTGCGATCGCCGGCGACCGGGTAAGTACATAGTACGGCTTGGGCGTTCTATGCCGCCCCCCTGGCGTTTAGAGCCGGGTTCCCAAAGACGGCATAGAATGCCCACTGTCCTTAAGGGGTTAATATCCGGATATTCAGCTGTCACATTGTCATGGAACACTCTTAGTATCTCCTTTCTTTCGAGCATCGGAATAAACAATCTATCTTGAGGTTTATCACTTGGTGCCTGAGACTGAGCCGCCATGATAGTACAAAGAAGAGGAGATGACAAGGAAAGGACAGTAGAGGCAATGATACCTCTAAGGTGGAACGATAGGGGATGTCTCTTGTTCTTGTTCAGATTCTATGTCAAATTGCCTAGATAGGGCATCAGCTTTAACATTCTTAGGACCTGGTCTGTACGTGATGAAGTTAAAGAGTGACAAGAACAAAGACCATCTAGCTTGTCTAGAAGACAGCCTTTTAGCATCTCCAATATATGACAAGTTTTTGTGATCAGTTATGATCAGAAGTGGGTCCTTGGAACCCTCTAAAGGATGTTGCTATTCTTTTAGAGCTAGTATAATGGTGTAGCCAATATCATAGTTACGCTCTGCAGGAGACAATTTTCTAGAAAAGTACCTGCAAGGATGCAAAGGAGTATCCTGACTTTCCCCCTGAGAGAGGACAGTCACTACCATTCTCTCTCAGAGGCATCTACCTCCAGTATGAAGGACTTGCTAATGTCCAGATGTACCAATAGGTAAGCAGAAGCAAACAATTTCTTAAGCTCAAAAGCATCTCAAGCTTCCCTAGACCATACAGTACAGTTAGTCCCCCTACGTGTCATATTGGTGATGGGGGCTATCACCGTAGAGAAATCTTTGATGAATCTCCTTTAGTAATTAGCAAAGCCAATAAACCTTTGAATGGCCTTTAACTCATTAGGTAATGGCCAGTGTAGGATGGCTTCCAGTTTACGAGGGTCCATCTGAAAACCAGAGACCGAAATATTATGACCCAAGAACTGTACTTCCCTCTGATCAAATATGCATTTTTCAAGTTTGCAATAAAGCCCATTTACAAGCAAAGTTTTCAATACTTGTTTCACATCCTTATGATGAGTCTGAAGATTGGAGGAGTAAATGAGGATATCATCCAGATATACTAATACAAAACTATAAATGTAGCCTCTGAAAACATCATTAAGGAAATCTTGAAATAGGGCTGGTGTAACAGTTTACATGAGTTGGAGCCCAGTTACCAGGCTCCAGATACCAGGCCTCAGACAGAGCTGACTTTAACAGATCGTTGATTAGGAGCAGCATACCCTAATTGGTAAGCAGCACTGCTCCATCCAGGCAAGGAGTCAGGAAGCAGACAAATAGAGGTATATACTGAAGCCCCCCCAAGGTAGCGAACCTGACTTTGATGCTGCAGCTGTGAGTTCAAATCCCACCAGGTCTCTTAAAGGGGTGGTCTGCAGGGCTTGGGGTGCACAAGACACTCATAGTGACCAGTTCTTGTATTAAATGAATTCCATTCATGACCCTCCTTAATCCTTACCAAATTGTAAGCACTCCTAATGTCAATTTTGGTAAATACCTTAGCATCCTGGAGTCTATCAAACAATTCTGAGATACAGGGAATGGGATAAGCATTTTTGATGGTGATCTTGTTCAAGGCCCTTTTGTCAATACAAGGTCATAATTTCCCATCTTTCATGGATACAAAAAAGAACCCTGCCCCTGCAGGTGAAGAGGACTTACGTATGTGACCCTTAAGTAGACATTATTTGATGTATTCATCCATAATCCTACTCTCCTGAGGTGATAAGGCATATACCGCCCCCTTAGGGGTTCCATGGAGCAATCACAAGATCTGTGGGGAGGTCGCGTATCAGTGTGATTTTTACTAAACACTTTTTTAACCTCCCAGTATTGTACAGGAATTTCAGTAGGCTGAGGCATAGGAATAAGTAGAGTAACGGTGCCCACTCTTTTAGTAACGGGTAACATACATCTCTCACTACACTCTTTACCACATTCCAGTATTTCCCCTTTAGCCCAGTCAATATGAGGGTTGTGCTTAACAAGCCATGGAAATCCTAATATAATGGGACAAGACGGGGAAGCAATTATCTGAAATGTAATAGTCACTGTTATGGGCAAAGTTTCATAGGTAATTAAAGGTTGAGAGAGAGGTCTTCTATCAATGGCCTCAACAGCCAAGGGTGAGGATCTCACCTTGATAGGTAGAAGGTGTTTCCTGACAAACTGTATGCCGATAAAGTTTCCTGCAGCACCGGAGTCCATCAGGGCTTTATATGAAAAGCTCTTATCATAACATAGGGCAGAAATGTCAAGAAGAAATCAACTTTGGGTAGTACCAGGAGACATATCCATCACACCTAAGACCTATCCACTCATGGTTCTTAGGTGCGGCAGTTTTCCGGACGTATGGGACAAGCATTTCTCATATGTCCTTTCCTGCCACAGTATAAGCAAAGGCACTGTCTTCTCCTAAACTGTTTTTCTGCCTCTGACAGTCTCATAACTCCTAACTGCATAGCATCAGTTTCGGACTGCACAGGAGGGTCAGAAACAACAGGACTAGAGAAACGAGGCACCAGTGGCATATTCATACATCTGGTTCTATTTCTAGTTATCTTCCTGTTCCTAAGTTGATTAACTATATGCATCCCATAAGTGAAGTATTCATTCAATCCCCCTGGTAGTTCTTTGGCTGCAATCTCATCAAGGATAGTTTAGGATAATCTCTCTGAGAATGCAGTGATTAATCCGTTGTTGGTCCAGTCTACCTCAGAAGCCAGGGTGTGGAATTCTATGGCATACTCTGAGACCATAGGGCAGTGGAGGTGTTGCTCTCCCTTCCCAATGGCTCAAACTTTAGCTTGAATTCTGCAAAGAATTCCTGGTAATTATGGGTGTGACGGAACGCTGGCACTCCGACCAAGTACCTCCGCCATTCGATGCTCCTAGTACTTGCCGAGGACTCCAAGCACTCCACCAGACACCATAATCACTGCAGACCCCACTTCCAGCAATGCAGTTGCACTGGGGTCTCGCCGTCCTTCACCCACCCTGGACCCAAGGCCAGGATCCAGCTTCCAGTGGGTGAACCTCTCCTAAAACCAGAGAGCAGGAACCAGGAACAGCTCTTACAAGAGCTTACCCTGGGGAGTATAGTGTGATTATAGCAATCCCCAGAGTGTAGTTGTCCCATCCCACAAGCATGAGCCAAGGCTTCAAGAAAGGGTCAAGCAGGTCTGTTTAATGAGCACCAAAGGACTTTCTTTTATACAAGATTTTCCATAAGGTTACAACCCATGTGGCCTTGTGGAACAGCCAATCAAACCAATACAGTCAGACACTCCCAGCCAAGGCACACAAACCCTCCCCTCTGCCTGTGATATATAGTTACTAAACACAATGTGCTAACTTAATTATCACAGGCAGAGAAATAAAGGCGATAAAACTAATCAGAACTACAAACTCTAGGGAAAACATTTCCCAATTAAAAAAATTGGGAAAGGTAGCTTAATTGTGTGTAAGACCACCAGGAATGGTGTAATGCTTTCACCTCTACTCGTAAACAGGTCCAATTCTTAAATTTAGTAGAAACGCATTATAAGGTCACAAATAGGTGATATTTGGTGCCGACCAGATTAACACAGATGTACCAAAGTGCCTCCCCATGGTGTTGGCATTGTAGGTTCATAGAAAGTACCTATCTGCACAACTGGTGGAGTTGTGATTTTATTAGGAAGGCTTTGGACGTGCCTTTTTCATATATATATATGACATGACCAAGATATCACTAGAAATGACCCCTCAGACTGTATTACTACATATGCAGTGGCCCAATATGTCACATAAGAATAAAAGTTTTATTATTCATTGTTTTATTGCTTATAAAATTATAATATGGCGTAAAGGGAAACAAACTGAGAAAATACCTTTTGACACAATTAAATCTCAATTAATCTTACAATTAAGGATGAAAAGAGATCTAAGTATTCCTTAAAATGCCCCAAAAAGACATGATATGTGGCAATTGTGGCTTATGTTAACATAACGCATCAATAAGTTCAGTAGAACCAATTTAATAAAAGCCCTTGTAGCATGTTTCACCAGGTGCCTAGGACCTACCTCCACTTCTCGACATTGTGGAAAGAATGTTCAAATGAATGTTTATTTGTCTATGTGTGCTCATATACAAATCCTTTGCTGTAATAGGCTGAGCAGTTTAATGTTTGTATTGTATGTTTGGCGATCTATGATTCAATGTCTTTATGGAAAAAATGTTTTCAAAATCTCGAATAAAGATTATTTAAAAAAAATAATATATATGAAAATGTTTTGAATGCATTTTGGATTTTGTAAAACAGAAAATTTCTAACTTATATTGTCTGCAGATTCTCATTTATTTTCATTTTTTTCCCCATGATTTTTATCAATACTCCCATGATCTCTTTACTTCTCAAACAGTATATAATTGGATTGACCATTGGGGTGAGCACAATATAAACTAAAGATTTAAATTTGTTATCAATCGACGACTGTTCTCCAGATGGTAACAAATACACAGCAATTAGAGTCCCATAAAATGTGCAGACAACAGCTAAGTGAGAGCTGCAAGTGGAGAAGGCTTTTTGCTTTCCGGTGGAAGAGGAAATCTTGAAGATGGTGATGAATATATAAATGTAGGATATAGTAACAAATATAAAAGGGAAAAATATTAGACATAAGGATAAAACAAAGTCAAACCATGATAGTAAAAATGTGTCAGAGGCTGAAAGTTCAATGATAGGAGCAAAGTCACAAAAGAAATGGTTAATGATATTTGAGTCACAGAACTTCAATTGATACATCAAAATTATTTCAGTGGAAATAAGAATAAATGATCCAAACCAAGACAGAGAGACCAAATATAAACACTGCTTAACATTCATAATAGCAGCATAACGTAACGGATTGCATATTGCCAGATATCTGTCAAAGGACATTACCATGAGAATGAGAGATTGAGAAAACCCAGAAAAACAATGAAAATAATACTGAAAAATGCAGGCAGTTGTGGAAATGTTTTCTCCTTTCTTCAATATAATGTGTAGGCTGTTTGGTATAATATTTGAGGTGGACAGAAGGTCAGCAAAGGCAAGATTCTTAAGGAAAAAATACATTGGATGCTTGAGATGTTTGCTTATAGAAATAAGTAGGATGATTACAATATTCTCACTTAATATTACAATGTAAATCGTGAGGAAAAGTACAAAAAGTAAAATCTTGTAGTTATTAAGACTCTGGAATCCAATAAGTAGAAACTGAGTGATTGATGTCTGATTGTAAAGGCACATTCTGTTCAGGAAATATACTTCTTTAGAACTGTATAAAAGGTGACAGGTACATTTGAAATAAACCTGTTAAATTAAATCAAATTTACTTTTTTACTAGAGCTGCAACAAAAGATTTGATGGTTATGGTACACTTCAGCTGAAACCATAAATTCAGACAAAATAATCTATGCAAAATGTTTATTTAGGTGCAAAACACAGATCCTTAGTAACATAAGTCAGTGCATTGCTGTACCTTTTCTGATGATCTAATAGTGAGTCGGTATTTATGAAATCCTTTTTGAACATTATGTTAAATGTTGCTTACAAGTGCTGTAGTGACAAGCTACTATTTTACTTTATATGGTTTCAAGGTTTCTGCTTCATTCCTCTATCTATGTTTCACGATTTTCAGATTATTATATTGTGCAGTGTTTTGTATAAATGTTCTTCCCTATTATGTCAAATGTTCACCCCTATTAGGGTGGCATTTGCAATTATGCCTCCCTATTTGTTGCTTTTCTTAACTTTTATGTTTTAACTCTTTCACTGTCAACAACATATATATATATATATATATATATATATACGCATGCTAATTTTAATTTTTTATTGCAAAGCAACCCAATATGATATTAAACACATTAAGCCCTATTTACCTTTCTCTTTACATAGTTTACTCCCTGCAGAAAGAAATATTTTTTTTTTCTGACAGGGTTAATTTCTTTCCCTCTATATATATATATGCAGAGAAATTAAAAAAGGTATTTTCTTCTTCATGCCACAGAGTATTTTTTATGTCAAACATCATAACTTTATATACCAGTAGCTTGGAAATGGACAAGTTGATGGTCTGTGAGAAACATTATGTATGTGTCAAGAGTTTTCTGAATGCTGAAATAGTTTACAGTAATGCCTATGTTGTAAAGATTCTTGTAGTAACTAAATTACTGTATTTGAGTATTATGCACATATGCAGATATTATCTTTGCATTGTTGTGATTCCTAATTTTAGGAAGACAGCATTAATGGTAGCTAAATGGTATTTGAGCAAATCCATTTGCATCAAACAGTACAATAATCTGCAAACCTAAAATTTACATCAAATCCTCGTCCTCCATTATTTTCAGTTTTTAAGCTCATAACTTGTATACAAGTAATGTATATGTTGTGTTGGTATACCTGTAAAGTGCTTTGAGTCTCACAGGGAGAAAAGAGCTATAAAAATCACAAATTATTAATGAGTAGACTGTAGACTATTATAAATAATGGATATAGTTATAATATCTCTTTGTCATAACGTAAGGTATATAACAATAATATCAGAAACATGAAGAATTAAAAAAGGAATGCACATTTACATACAGTACATATAGGATAACAATGAGTATTTTTGGAGCTATAGAAAAGATAACAGTGTTACAAATGTGAAACAGGCAAAATATATTTAGTATTTACTGTTACTTAAGACTGTGTTGATAAACAGGCACAACAAAAACTAAAATGCAATAATATTCTTAAGAATATGTATATTCTGTAAAAGTCTATTCCTGTTATATTATGCAGATGTGCAATTGTGGCCTGTTAACTCCATCAGTACAGTAAGAGGCAGTTTAGGTTACATATTATAAAGTGGGATATAAGATGGTGCCCTTCAATGATTAAACTGGGAATTGAAGGCACACCCAGAACATGCCTTTCTAAGTAGTGGTGCTGCCTTAAAGACTAAAATATAAAAATGAAAAATCCAGTTAAAACAAAAATACAGTTGATAATTTTACAAGGCTACTTAAAATCACCTATCTTAGCAAACATATATGGGGATTCAGTTACAACATATGGCCATATTGTGCTAAGCCCACCACTGTGTCATAGTACCCCAATATCAATCAGTGATACATTAGTTTTAACACAGGAAATGTACATGCTAACTTGCAGTACTGAGTGCCTGAACTTCTTCTAGAGACTCATCAATTTATGCTTTCCTATAGTCGCTTCCAAAGTGGCACCTATAGTGGATGGGTAGGGTGCTCAGCCCAATAGGGATATCCAATGTTAAAATTACACAACTATATTTTGTTAGTGAAAAATGTATACTTCCTTAAAAAATAACATCTCAAATAATGAATTCTTTGCAAAAGTGCATTGTTTATAAAAACTCATGGATAGTCCCATATATCTGTATGCAATTTACTAGATTCTATTAGATGAGATAGGCTTATCTCTTATAATGGAACAGCATTTTTCCAGTAAAGGTCAGTTACAAAACTGCAATTCATTTTACAGCGTATCTTATCTAATAGAATCTAGCCTTACAAACCAGAATCTGGTATATGAGTTAAACATATCTATGGTAAGTGAATAATAATTTTACTATAGATGTCAATGGGAGAATTGCTATTATTAGAGTATAGACAATAAATATAGAAATATAGATGATTATACTTAAGTATAGAAGACTGCTCTTGTTACCAACCCAATCCTTATATATACTCAAAAGTGAACCTTTTATCTACGTCCATATTAGAACAAGGTCATGGAGAAGTAGTGTGTGAATCAATGAAGGACATAATACAGTTAAAGGAACACACACATAAAAACAAAAATAGTTTTCAATTTTATAAATATTATATTTGAAATATTATGTTATATTAATTTTATGCAATACTCTGGTATTTTGGCATCTTATGTGTGTGTGTGTGTGTATATATATATATATATATATATATATATATATATATATATATACACACACATACATAAGATGCCAAAATACCAGGAGTATTGCAGTAGGCAATGATACCTTTTTTATTGGACAAGTCAAACATAATATTTCAAAGACAAGCTTTCAGCAAAAATGTATATCTTGCAGAATGAAAGACAAAAAACAAAGAATTATATTCCTAAACACATTTTGGCTGAAAAACAGTACTTTAAGAGATCAGATATTACATACATATATATACATACATATAGTTAATACAATGTTAAACAAAAATCTGCACACAAGTCAAGCAATAAGACTTGCTTTTCCTACAAAAATCACAAATCTTCAGTGATGTTACTACTGCAAAGGATTCTGGGTGGGCATATGCAAATTAGTTTAACAAAGAATCACATTTTTTTTAAACATGGATTCCTTTGAGTCTGTGTTCGCTGTATACAACAGCTTTGAAACACAACTTAGGAAAATATGCAAAGCCAGCAAACCACTCATGGACAGCTGTTTCATTGTTAATGCAAATCATCAGCATGAGGTTGGTTACTGGTTTGCTTATTGAGGCTTGGTAGTGCTTGGGAAGCAAAATCCAAATAGGTTATGGTGGGGGAAAATTGTGATTGAAAACCTTTTCCACCTGAAGTCTGTGAATAGTTAATACAATGTTAAACAAAAATCTGCACACCAGTCAAGCAATAGGACTTGCTTTTCCCACAGAAATCACAAACTGGAGTGATGTTACTACCGCAAAGGTTTGTGATTTCTGTGGTAAAAGCAAGTCCTATGGCTTAACAGGTTTGCAGATTTTTGTTTAATCTTGTATTAACTATCCACACAGTTTGTAGGTTTTTGCACTCCTGTTTCCCAGTCTTTCTGCCCAGTGCACAGCTGCACAACATATATCCAAGCACATAGGTAGTCAGCACTCAAGGTCTTATGAAGAAAAAAAATATCTTTCTTAGTATGAAGATCCCACAATTGGTCAATGTTTCAGTTCATATTATATAACTTTCATCAGGGCATAGTGTGTGTATATATATATATATATATATATATATATACACACACACTATCCAGGCACACTCACTTAATCACTAAACATCAATTTCAAAGCTCACTGAATGCAATAGTGTTTTTATTTTTTTTTTATTTTTAACACCTAATGCCTGTTCTTATGAAATTAATCTACTTACTTGGTATAAGCTTCCGCTGCAGTGCAAAGTTAAATAGGGTCCTGGGATGAGGCACCTGTGACAAAGAGGCGTGCAAAACCAGTGAGTGTTGTCTTGTTCTCCCAAATATACATATTATTATAATATATATATATATATATATATATTACATTTGCTATGTGACAGACTTTATGCAATGTATGATAATATACTAACTAAACCCCCATAATGTTTACCTAGGTTTGGTGTGTAAAAAAACAAACAAACAAAAAAAATAAACTCTTACAATCTGTTAGCTTTGAAATTGTTTAGTGAATGAGTAAGAGCACTGAAAGCTGTATTTTGTATGAATTAGCCCTAACTGCACTCTAATAATGTATGCATGTTTGGGTTAGTGCAGCCCTCTTGGTGTAGATAGATAGATAAATTTAAACAATTATATATAAAAATTATATGACCTACATTACTTGCTATTTCAGAATCTGAAAAATATAAATTAATATATATTATTTTATGGCACATGTTTGAATAGATTCATACTTTTCTGTATAAATAACATTGTGTAATAAAGAAAAATAAATTAATATTGCAATATTGTTATTCAAAAGAATTGTTAGTTAATATATATATAAAATCTTAACTAATGACTTAATGTACTGCTTTCCCGCAAAAGTGCAACTGTATTTATGAGCTGAAGAAAAATATTAAAAAAGAAAAATATTATTAATTGTTATACTATTTTGTAGGAATAAATACAATGTGAAATCTACTTACGCTAGATATATGTGCAAACCTTGAAAATAATTTCATATATCTCTCCAAAATCAGGCAAAATAATGAAACAGGTATTAAAGGCTTATCAGC